TCTCAGCCACGGTCACCAAGCGTCAGGAAGCCATGAAGACTGGACTCAATGCTAGGCAAATGTCCTGTTTCAGGTAGAGAAAAGGGCCAAAGGGCCACAAATTACATACCAATGGCTTGTGGTCTAGTTGCAGGGTCAAATGGCAGAACAGAGGACAAAGAGGACTTTGTGAGCATATGGGAGATAAAAGGTGACCAGGGAAAGCCAACATGGGTTCCTTAAGGAGAGCCAATGAAGAAAGCTGCCCCCTTCCTCGGAAAGGGGCCATAGGTTGCTGACCACAGGGCCACTGGCCACTTGTTCAGCACCTGTGGGCCGAGAGTCCTGGCTCTGATAAATACTTCCGTGATGTGACTGCACTCAACAGTGAGCCGCCCTTCATGTCCAATGACCACCTCACCCGGGCAGTGTTGGGGGCCACCAGCAGCGGCACTGGAGAAGGCAGGCTCTACCCTGATCCTTGAAGCCCGGAAGGGGTGCTCACCTGTGTAAAGTGAGACTTCCAGGACCCTGCTAGCCTAGCCACTTCTCTCTCCCTCCCTCTCCTCTCTCTTGCAGTCCTGTTCTACCCCCCACCGGGTGAAGGTAGAAACCCAGGGTCCAAAGAATGCTAAGCCAGATCTCTGGCCCTGGGCTCCACCCCTAACCCCACCTCTTTCCTAAGTTGTTTAAACCCCCATCTCTCCTACCCAGCTGCCCTGATGGAATCCTGAGTGGGTACCTGCTTCTCAGCCTGAGACGACCACTGGACACTTCAGCAGAGCAGCATTATTTATTTTGAGGTCAAACAGGCAGGCGGGGCCCTGGAAGCCCTTCATGGGCCCTAAGGGTTCTTGGGAGACCTGGAGCTGTATCAGATGCACTGAAGTGCACCCACCTCACACATCCAATATAATTTTTACTGTAACGATTTTGAAAGAGTTTGAATAAGTCTGCTTTTGAAATTATTTGGCCAGGAGTAACTCGATTAATTTATGGTTGGCTCTGATTTCTCAGTAAACATCAGGCCTGCTCAGGAATTCTTGGGAAGTGAGAAAAATCTAAGCTACAAATTGTTTCCCAAAGTAAGAACATCTTTTATGGAGTCTAAAGTTAATAACCAACGAATTCGACAAGATGGGTGTACACTTTGTAGGAGTTTAATCATAGGCTAATAAATTTTTATTTCGTACTTCTCTTCGCATCTTGAAAGCCAGTGAGATGTTTAGGTTTCAGACATTTTCACAGACTCCTCAAAGCTCTGCCCTAAGCTCAGTGCTGAGGACAGAGTGAGTTCATTTGCACCCTCACCCCCACTGTATGGAAAAATGGTTTGCACATTGCCAACAACTTTGGCAACTTGCAGACTGTTCCTGTCTTTAGGCCACTGTTTGTACCCTGCTTCACTGAAAGGTAGTCATTGACATGGACTATGATTTTACCAAAATTCTTGAAAAATGAGACTCAAGCACTACCAAACAAAACTGTTCCCATGCCCTTTACAGGGTCTGTCTTCAGGCCTGTTCAGGATACGCAGGGGCCTGCCACTTGCTAGGGTGGACTCACACCTACAAGACACACTTGCCTTGACATTAAATGGGTAAATTGGAGTAGGACAAACTAGATCCAATTTTAATATCTGGTCATTTCTGTTGGCAAGGAGACTCAATGGAGCTAGACCATTAAGAACGGAAAACCACACCGGGTTCCGACATAAGGAAGGTGTCCTAGCCGTACCCTAGGGTGACATCAGGACTAAAGCACTCTCAGGAACACTCACGGGGATTGTGTACTCAGCCTAAGGCCATCATGTCCTGAGGCTCAGGGACTGGGCTTGGGAGAAGACACCACCAACTGCTGACTAGCTCTGGGAGGCTCGGCTTCCCAAGAGCCTTCAGATGTGTTGGTGCAGGCACCGGAGCCTCACTGCAAGGACTGAGTAAATCCAGCTGAGGCCGGTCATTCTCAAGTGACAAAGCATGATGCTACACTTGGGTCTAGCCTGGCAGCCAGCCTCAACTTGCCTTTACCAGGAAGGCAACCAATGTTTTCCATGGTGACTATGTACCCTGTACCTAGGATGTCTCAATCAGGAATGCCAGAGAGGAGAGCAGAGCTTAGACCACCACACCAATCAATACCAGGTGATTTGCTGAGAAATCAATTACTCCTGGCCAAGTAATTTCAAAATTCCCAGGGCCAGTCCCAGCACTCCAAGGCCTGAGACCTGCACATCTTGGGTCCCATGTGCCAGCATCCCTCCCCCAGCCCGGCCTCTGCCCCTCTCCAGGGAACCACACGGATCTGCTGACTGCGGCAGCCACACTGCCCTTCATGTGGAACATTCTGACTACGGTGTAAATATGGTCTTTATAGAGGTGAGCCTAGGTGCCGCCGGGTTAGTGTTGGCCTGGTGCTGTGGGCAGAGCTGCCTCTCAGAAGGGGAGCCAAGGCAAACACCACTGGCCACATGCTCTGCGCCAGAAGACGCTTCGCCCACTGCACTCTCCATGCTTGGCGGCAGGCACTCAACAAAAAGATTCTCATTGTCGGCTGCAGTGCAGCTTTGTGGCCTTCGCGGACCCTGACCTAAAACATTCGTGGTAGAGAATACCTATTAATAGGGTGTGCGTGCGCGCGAGCGCGCGTGTGTGTGTGTGTGTCTGTCTGTCTGTTAAACTATACTTGGTTTTGGAAACTCAAGAGCAAACAGCATGTGTGTCTCAAGGAAGAGGTTGTACCGCTTCTAACATATCAAGCTTGTATGGAAGGGGAGAGAGACTTCCACCTAGCCCCTGGACTGAGACCCACAGGACGGCTAGTGCTCTTTCTGAGTCACAGCAGTAAAAACTAAGGGCTTACTGAGGAACCTGCCTAAAATCACAGTGGAAGCAAAGCCACTAAGATTTGACCCCAGTGCCCCCAACACCACAACAGTAATCTTTCCCCAACCTCATACTTCCTCAGCCCCAGACTCTTTACCCAAATCTGGATGCTCTCTTTGGCCCTCTGTGGCATTATCCAAGCTTAAGGATGACAGATTTGTCACCAAGTTGTTTGTGCATTAGTGCTGAATTCTCATTGCATTATTTATTGCAGCACAGGTAGCACCGCCCCGCCCCTGCTCCACAAAGGCTTCTCATCACAGCAGGCTTTTGGTGCCGCACTTTCAATGCAATCTATACTTAGGGCTGACTTTCATTTGCTGTTTATGCTGACAGCCTTGCCTCTTACTTATGCTAACCAAGAGAAGGGGGTGTGCTGAGCTGGGTGGCTATGCAGGAAGAGCCTGGCTGCCGGCTTCGCTGGGAATTATTTTGTAGTCTCCTTTGCCTTCTGTCTGCTATCCCAGCCCTCTCATTAAGTGGCCCCTCTGTCCTGCTGACCTGGTGGAAAGCTGGGAGGCTCCCACGCCACTGTGCTTTGCTCCAGCTGTCAGGGACAGACTCTCATTCTCTGTCTCAGTCCCTAGGGCTTGGGCCAAACATAACGAAACCTTATTCTCCTCTCTGAATGTTCTTCCTGAAGGTCTGGCCTCCCCTAGCCCAGGACAGAAACTGGGGGCGAGCAAAAGCAGGAAGTGGCATCAGGGAGGGAGGAAGGGAGGGGGAGGAACTACTTGTGTGTCACACACTCTGCCCAGGCTGGGTACTTGGGGATCTGCTTGTCCTGTGTGCAGGGGAAAGGTAAGGGTGTAAGCAGCCCCTAGAGAATAAAGAAAGGAACCCACAGACTCAGCCTCTAAGCTGGCACTGGCACAATGACAAAGGTTATTCCCTGATGCCATTTCCTGTTTCAAATCAAGGGCTCAGCGGGGTGCTCCACACTGCCATAAGGCCTAGGAAGGGACCTAAATCCAAGCTTTAGTCATCGGAGTGGACTAGGTGAACCCAAGTGCCAGTTCCCTCCCCACTCGTGGACAGAGAAAGACAGGATCTCGGGAACTATAGTTAAAGCGCTGGAGAAGCTGGCCACCAGAGAAAGCCTGGCCTGGCCTGGCCTGCCCTGCCCTGCCCTGGTTCTCAAGACCCACAGCAGCCCTAAGGGGGCTGGGACTCAATAGCTATGCATTTATTTATTTATTTATTCATTTATTCATTTGGGATTTTCTTTTGGTTTTCTGAGACTGGATCTGACTACCTAGGCTGGCCTAGAACTCCCTTTGAGGCAAAGGCTGAACTTGAACTTCTGATCCTCTTTCACCACCTCCAAATCGTAGGCGGACAGGTGTGCACCACTACAGCCACTGACTGGATGGTTTCGGAGTGAGCACACAGAGTAGTAAGCACATCAAATGTCTTGGCACATTTCACCTTAGCCATGCGCAGTCTGGAGGACATTTTGAAAAGCCCACAGCAAAATGTGATGATTATCTTAACTTATGCAGTCTAGTAGGTAACCCTTGAAAACCTGCAGAAATGTCATCACTGAGGAAGATCCCAGTTTAACTGGATCTTGATGACTCAAGTCTATATCTTCTTGTGATATGAGTAATGACAAAACACAGGACATCATCGGAGGAGGGAAAGAGCCATGGTTGGAGACTGATGGATCCGCAGCAGCTATCTGGATAGCTAGAATCCTGGTGTTGCCTGCTGAAGACAGCGATGAACCCGTTTGGCAAAGCAGAGCATCAAGCCCACACAGCCCCGATGTCCGTGGCCACGCACAGTATGCATACATCTCACTGCACAAAGGAAAGGGTTTCTTTAAAAATCACTCTAAGAATATCCACCCAACTGACCTTTGTCATCCTAACAGCTCTGAGTAAGAAAAACATGACTCCTGTCTACAAACAAGAGAAACCAAGGGCGGGAGACACGAAACACCTTTCTCATAGGTCACATGTGAGGAGAGCACAGAAGTGAGCCTAGACCTTCTGACTCTCAGCACAGGCTCTTGCTTCCAAACTTACAAAACAAAAACCTGCCCCTTTAAATTGTGCTCCTTAGGTCTCAGTTGGAGGTTGTATCTGTCTGGAGTGGCATGCAGTCATACAATGTACATGTTTGTGTCTACAGGCCCATGGAGAGACTGCCTGCAGGCCCTGGAGGATGGCCACGACACCAGCTCTATCTACCTGGTGAAGCCCGAGAACACCAACCGCCTCATGCAGGTGTGGTGCGACCAGAGACATGACCCGGGGGGTTGGACGGTCATCCAGAGACGCCTGGATGGCTCTGTCAACTTCTTCAGGAACTGGGAGACTTATAAGGTGAGACCAGCGGGCCTGTATGCACTGCCTGCAAGGTGACTGGCTCACCCCCAGTCCAGAAGAACAGAGACAGGATCGTTTCTGCAAATCCATCAGATTTGCTGTCCAGGAAAGGATGGAGTAGAAACAGCATCTTACTCTTAGCCAGGGCCTCCACAATGTGATCCTGCTCTTAGGGGCTAGAAGGGGGTCCTGGGAAGCTCCCCAAAAAGGCATGTGTAGGCAACTGTGACCGTAATTGGGCCCTACCTGCAAGGTCCATTCTCTGAGTTCCCCAGTTCCCAGGACACTAAGTGCTTCCCCTTGTATGTGCACCCTGCACACGGCTTACAGCCACAGCGCGGTACCACAGCCACTGCAGCGAGGCCGCGAAGCCAAAGCTGCAACTCCCATCAGCTCCGATGCCTCTGCATACGTCCTGCTGGCTCCTCCAGTCTCCTCCATCCTGACTCTCCCTGGGCAGCCTGTGTATCTCCTGCTTCTCTCCTCTAACGCCTAGCCTCAAGGTCCTCTTTGTACGCCTCCATTCTCTCAAGGAGATGGTACAACACAGCAAGTTACCCATCCTAGGGAAGCTGAGGATAGTGCCTGGTTCTGAGAATCACTTGTAAGACTTTGGGGGCCACTGCTCAGCTGATGCCCCCAAACCACATACCAAGGGTTTCAAACCTGGAAGGACCCAGGTGGATGTAGCATGCCTGTCACAGCTCTCACCTGTCTATGCTGACGCTTACATACAACACGCATACACAGTCCATCTCCAGAGAAGGCAACTGAGGCTTGGGGGAGGTGAGGGCTCTTGTCTGAGCAATGCTGGCTGCATGCCTTCCGGGTGCCAGGCTTGCAAGTGACCACATCATCCTGTCTTTGAGAAGTTACAGAATCCTCAGGTAAGGACAGAAACAGGCTCACATGAAGGAAGGGAAAAGGTGTGCTCTTCAGATGTGTGAGTGGTACATGATTGATGGTTACAAAGGCTCAGTGACTCACCCAGTCACAAAGTCTGATACACAGGTAGCAGGGATTGGAACCAAAGCCTGCCTTATGTACTGACTATTTCTGGGACACAGGCTCCTCACTCATGCTCTCCTGGGTCTTCCTCAGCAAGGGTTTGGGAACATCGATGGTGAATATTGGCTGGGCCTGGAGAACATCTACTGGCTGACGAACCAAGGCAACTACAAACTTCTTGTAACCATGGAGGACTGGTCTGGCCGCAAGGTCTTTGCAGAATATGCTAGCTTCCGCCTGGAACCAGAGAACGAGTACTATAAGCTGCGGCTGGGGCGCTACCATGGCAACGCAGGCGACTCCTTTACCTGGCACAACGGCAAACAGTTCACCACTCTGGACAGGGACCATGACGTGTACACAGGTAGGTGCTGAAAGGGGATGAGACATCACCAACCAACTGTAGAGCTCCTGACTCCAGGGCCTGGAGCAGGAAGATGCCATGTGACAGACAGCTGTGCCAAGCTGCCTGACATTGCTTCTCAAAGCCCCCTTCTACCCACTGCCCTCAGACACGCGGCACTTACAGAAAGGGAGGGCAGAAGTACACAGGTCTCACAGCTGAGGATTGCCCTGGGCCAAGGCACTCATGCTCCAGGCTATGCCCTGCCAAGTTCTATCTGAGAACACACACTCACAGTCCACAGAGTCTGGGCTATCCACTTCATACTCCAATGCTGGCCCCAGCACCTCAGTCATGCATCCTCAGCATGCTACACACTTGAATCTGGAAGTAAGGACAGTGTGTCCTGGAAGGTTAGGGAATGTTCAGGAGCATCTGCCTCGGGTGCTCTGGTCAGGATGCAGCGGGCATTGAGGATCCTGCTCAGTGACTCTGGCTGGCTACATGTAGCACGAATGCAGAGTGGTAAGAAAGCCACTAAGAGGAAAGCAGCTGGTGGAGAAGTCATTTGTCCCTGAGTGCAACCGTAAGCCCAAGTTGTGATTAAATGAGAAACAAAGGAGAATGCAGAAAATTCCAAGATGCAAAGGTACAGCTTGACCCTGAGGGTCAACATCCCACGACCACGTCCTCCACTCCACTCGTGGCCCTGAGCCAACACCCAGAACATCTCATGGGATCCAGAGGCCCTAGGCAGCAAGGTCTGAGGCTCTGGAGGCTGAGTCTCTGCTTCCCAGGCAGACCTGGCCAACCTGCATAGCCTCCCACTAAGTTATGACCCGAAGGTGGACCTTGTCTCTAAGGAGTGAGCTCTGGGGACTGCCTCAGAGATAGTGTGTGCTTCGAACAATCCCTGGTCCCTACATACTGTCAGGTCCACAAGGCAGCCACACTAAAGACAGTTCTCACAACTTCAGGGGCCCCATGGGACAGGACCTGCCTGTCCTCATACCACAGAGACATAGCTGTCTGCTGGAAGGGTCCCAGGAAGCAGCTACTGCTCTGCACTGAGTCCTCTCTAGTGTGGTTGACTTCATCTGTCTGATGCTGGGACACAGAACTGCAGTATGTATGTACTTGAGAGCCATCTCAGGGAGTAAGGGAGCTGTCCAGGGGCATACAGGGCTAGGGCCAGGGCCAGGGTGTGGGGAGGGAGGATGCCAAGGGCTCTCCCTGTTCGCCCAATGCAATATTACCACTTGGTCCTGGTGGTATTAAGACATGACTCAGCAGAAGCTCCCAAAAAAACTCTGGAAATAAGGTAAGGCTGGGGCTGAGGCCCCCAGCTTCAGCCTCAAGCTGTCTGTGCCCCATGACCTCTGCTGGAGAAGCCTCTCCCTGAGGAACGGGTCCCCTCTTAGTCCCAACCCCCAACTAAGCCCAGGAGACTGGGCTCTTCTGGTCTTCCCTCTGCGGGGTGCCACGCCCCTGCATGCCTGCTCACACCTTGCCCACGCGTATTACTGACTGCTTGTCCTTGGCAGCACAATGCAGGCGATGTGATAGTGCCAAGAGCTTCATGGAAATACCCCCATTAGTGAAATAACATAAAAAGGGATCTGGATGGAATTGAGGCTGGCGAGGACAAGACAGGCACTTCTCAAAGGACTCATCCAGACCTGTCAATTCTTAGACTGTCAGGCAGCACGGTTCCCTTCCCAGCTCACAGATGACCACTTCCGCTTTGTTCAGCGCCACCTCTGCGTGGAACCCAGGCCAAGGGCTACCATGACCCTCGTTTATTCTTACAGCAGTCCTGTGTAGTGGGCATTGTTTTTGTCCTTTTACAGATGAGAACAGTGTCTGGGGAAGGCAAGGCCACCTATCTGTAATCCTACCTAGTCTGTTATAAAGCTAGCTGCAGAGGCAGGCCAGCCTTTGACCCCTGCTCAGGGTCCCGCAGAAGTCACTGAGCACACCATGGATGGGGAGAAACCACCTCTTCCTAAACACTCTTCACGCCTTCTCTCCTACAGGAAACTGTGCCCACTATCAGAAGGGAGGATGGTGGTATAATGCCTGCGCTCACTCCAACCTCAATGGGGTCTGGTATCGCGGGGGCCATTACCGGAGCCGATACCAAGATGGGGTCTACTGGGCTGAGTTCCGAGGAGGATCTTACTCGCTCAAGAAAGTGGTGATGATGATCCGGCCAAACCCCAACACCTTCCACTAAGCTTGTCCCCTTCCCGGCCACTCACGGCCTTTACCAGAAGCCATCGAAGCCATCCCAGCCGTGCAGACCTCAGCACAGCTCCTCACCAGCTCCTCTCAGGCTGGGAGGATAGGGTGCTGGACCCCGCTTTCCAAATCACGCTGTCAGATGATGGAAATGAACAGTGTTCTCTGTCCCTCCTGCTTTCTTACACACCAGACGGCCCCTCATACTCCCAGGAAGGGTGGAACTGCAGGCGTTTTAATTAGGTCCCTCCAAGAAAACACAACTGCCAACACCCTCAGACATGACAGACATGCATATGAGCCACCACGTGTGTGCGCTCTTAGACACACATCACACGTGGTGTTCCTAGATATGCGTATGAGGTTGCCACATACACTTAACTTTTCCACACTCCGTGCTCAAATGCTGATGCCAGCACCACAGCTTTGCCCTCAGGAGAATGCTCTTCCTCACTGCCCTCTCCTTGAACCTATGGGCACAACAGGCCATGTAGCCCCGATTTTAAAATACAGTCCTTGGCATTGCCTGGATTCTTTCTGGAATGCCCGCACGCTCATCTCTCACGTCACAGTTCCTGGCCTTCTCCCTTGGGAACCTCTCTGGGCACCTGACCAACCACTCCCCTTCCACTGTGTATTCTCCCCTTCTCCAGATGGCCCGGCAGCCAGCTACCCCCTCGGCCTGCACCTTTCTTTCTGTGTCTTAGTCTCTGGCTGCTCCCTGGAGATCAAGGGTCCTCTTCTCCCTTTTCCTCTAGCCTCTCCTCTTCTGCCACACAGACCTTTGTTTTTGGCACAATTCATTGGCCTTTGGGGAGGAAATAGTCTGGGCTCAGGCTCCGGCTGGGAAAGGGAAGGCCAGGCCAGGCCAGGAGCCGCAGTGGCGGCCACGTAGACTTGTATCAGCTTTGTGTCTTCCATTCAGACTTTAGCCTCCACATTATTTTAGCTTCCACATAACAGTACCCTGCCTTGCCAGAGACACTCCATTGGAGAGAAGTCACTGCCAACATGTTGGGACTCCCAGACAGCTGCAGCTTTGAGGTCCCGTGCTCACAAGGAACAATATGCACCCTGTCCCCAGAAGACGAGGCCACACAAGGAAAGCCTAACTACTTTCCATGAGCCGCAACGCCCTCAGGGCTGCTGTGCACTGCAGCATGGTGGCTTCTAGAGTCCTGCTGGGCTTAGAGGTATCACATGACTGCCATGCCAGGAGCAACAGATAAGTCAAGAAGGTGAGACCCTCCCGGTGGGTACATGTGCCAGGTGTGTGAGCTGTGGGCCATTTGGTACTGTCCACATCTGGGTGCATGCCTATTACCTCAGCATTTCTCCCAGTGTGCCATGTAGCATGTTCTGTTTATGTATAAAAGGGAGGTGTTTTTGTCTTTTTTTAAAAATATATTCCCAGACTATCCTTGTAATGACACAAATCTGCAATAAAAGCCATAAGTGCTATGTGGATGCACCCACACCGTGTGCTGCTGTTCAGGAATGCCTTCCTGGGGCTTCTGTTAGTAAAAGCAGGATACACAGCATCTAGCATACACAAGGAGTCCATGCCAGGGGACCTCTGGCCAGTGTAGCTCTCTACTGCAAAACCTCTATTCCCAGTTAAGTCTCAGGCACCTATGGAGCGCCTCACAGGCCATCACAGGCCAGGCAGCTAACACTAGAGGCTGCTGGGAACTCAACTGTGGCTCAGGTCTTCCCTTTCTTTCCTGGCTTTCCCCTGGCCAAAGCTGCTCTAACCTCCAGGCGGAGCCTTCTGGAAGACTAGTGTAGGCGACATCTCCCCCACACTACGGCAACAGGCGCCTGCCAGAGCTGTCTCCTTGTAAAACAGACCGAGGAGGGCTGTCAAACCAAAGAGGGCAAGAATGGCCAAGACTGATAGCAAACAAGAGAGGCCTCTGCTATCTAGCCTCTATGAATGCTTCTTGCAAACACAGAAGGAGTATTGATGCCATACTCAAACTGAGACTCAGAAGGGTGTGAGCACTGTGGTGGCAAGCATGACAAAGTTTATGACCAACTTAAATATCACAACTAGATGATAAATTAAAAAAAAAAAACCAACCACCCCAATAAGAACAAGGGAGGATAAGACAGCACTTGTTGCCTCTTGGGTTTGCAAAGATGAAAAAACCAAACCAAACAAACCAAACAAAAATCAGGCATGTTGATAAGACACGGAGGGGTATCTACTTCTGCTCTGTGGACAGAAATAAAAGTTGACTCAAGACCTAAAGTACAATGGCTTGTACCCTTGGTCCCAGTTCTTGGTACATCTTTGATGAAAAGGGCAGTAAGAGAGATCCAGCACTTCAAAAGAAGCAGCAGCTGAAACCCAACAACAGCTCATGGTTATTCTTTGTACTCACAGCACAAGCACTGAGCCAAAACTAGAACTGCAGAGGCCCTTCTCACAAAAGGCTGGAGGGAGAGAAAAGCCCAGTGATTCAGAGGAAATTAGAGCCAATCAGAATGCACTCTACACCCAGCAGGCCTTAACCACCATGGGAATACTTCTACAAGTTAAAGTTTCGAGAAAGCTACAGTGGGTTTAGAAGTGGAGAGGGAGGGTCAGCATTCCCAACGTACAAAAAAGCAAGTAATGCTGCCACAGAGGTACAAGCTCACCGCAGGGTATGGGTGATCTGGGTGACAGGCACTGAACATGAAGTCTTAACCTTCTCCCATCTCCTATAGCTGCTGGGGTGAAAGTGGACTCGGTGAGGAAAATGCCCCAGCCTTGGTACAGATGCTAACCACACCTCCCACACATCTGGAGTGGGGGTGGGGAAAACAAGGTTCATCCTTCCTGATACCTGGTTTTAGGGCCAAATCCCCAGATAGTTCTGGTATGGAAAGCCAGGCTGAGCAGTGTGAAATAACCCTTTTCCTACAGCATTTGGGATCCATGGCACCAATTACCACTCTCAGCACTCACATCTAAGTCTGTATGTGTGCACACATATGCATACATGATATTGTATGGTATACGTATTATACCATATGTATGAAGAGGTCAGGGAAGGCTGTTGAGTGTCTTCTGCTAACTAAACCTCACTGTTTGGTTAGATTGGCTGGCCAGAGAGCCTGTCTCCAACGCACAACACTGGGGTTATAGACGTATGTTGCCTTGCTTAGCTTTTACGTGGGTACTGGGGGCTTGAACTCATGTTTTCTTGCTTTCACAGCAACTGCTTTACTCACTGAGTCACCTGAGTCCCCAAGCCAAATCTCACTCAAACCACAGACTGGGTATGTGAAAGACAGGGAACAAGGCTCTTAGAGACGCACAGCCTGTTCTTCCAAGGGAAAACGGGAGGTGGGGGGAGGTCAGCTCACTGGCAGTAGTTTGGAGCCAGAAGATGGCTGACTCTGAGTGCAGATACACAGCCAGGCAGCATCCTGGGCCCTGACCAGCCAGAGAGAAGCACTTTCCACCTCCTCCCCAGATGGGGACTTTGCAGACCCACAATCACACAGTTTCTGACAGTGTAGAGTTTTCTCTCCTGGGTGAACTCACCTACCTGCTATGGATAAAAGGCAAGAAAGTTCACCTTCCTCCTGCCTGTCCCTCAGTGTCAGTTTCAGTCAGTCCTTGGAACAACAATGCCACTTGAGTAAAGGCACTGAGAAGCCCCTCCCCCAAGGGCTCTGGATGAAATGGTGGTGTGTGTGCACGGCCCTCTGGTGTTCCAGTTCCCCTGACTGTCCATACTCTATCTGTCCATGTCCCAGTCTTAGAGGCAGAGGGCACCCAACTGCGGTAGTTTCACTGAGAGTCCAGAGGCTAAAGACAGCTGTCTAGAATCACACAGAGCAAGCATGAGAGGTGTCTGGAAGCAGCCTCTGCAGGGTTAGCCAACCTCCTTGGATCTGTGTATCAGTGAAGGGAAAAGACCCCAAAGGAGGGACTGTCCTCCAGCACTGCAGGGAGCGGGGTAGCCCCTCACCCTAGGTCAAGCAACAGGAAATATGAGGATGAACAGGGGTGGGGCTCAAAGACTAGATCTCAAGCCTAAGGCCCCAGGCACCAAAGAAGGAAGGTGGGGGAGACACTGGGAAGACAGGGCCAGAGTGTAGCTTGGTGGGGCAGGGGCAAGGGAAAGCTAGGTCACAGTGGGGAAGCAGTGTTCCGCCTTCAAGGAGAGGAGCTGGAGGTACCCAGAAGGAAAGGGAAACACCACAAGGGGTAACCAAGCAGATTTTTCCAACCCAGCACACGCTCAGGATGAAAACCAGGCCACCACAGAAGACACCTCCCCTCCCCACCCCACCCCACCCCACCCCCACCCCAAGGGCCAGAGAACCTTGTAGGCTGTTGAGAGAGACAGTGGGACTGGCTAAACCCAGAAAGAGGCCCACCTTGTCCTTGCTAGGCTTCAGGCCAGCAAGGCTGCCAGGCTTTAGGAGGCCAGACCTGGCCTCTACATAGAAATGTCTGGAATGAGGGGCTGGGATTTGTCATGTATGAGACTAAGGGCCCGCTGAAGGACAGGGTGAGTGAGAAAAAACAAAACAAAATATCCGCAGAGGAGGCTTGAAAGGTACACTGAGGGAAAATGGGGCTGGCTTCTTCTTACACCTGACTGCGTCCAGCTCATTTAATAAGCCAGTTACGTAAGAACACGAGGTATCTCATGAGGCCAGGAACCAGAAACTGCCTGGAAACCCTTCAAGAAGCAAGGAGCCTTCTCTGTTTCACCAGAGTCAAGAGCCAGCTGTCGCACACTCTGCAGACTCAGCCGTCCCGACCTTTGGCACTACCTACAGCTGGCCTGAGTCAGCTAGTAACTGGATCCTGGTTACAGTGGTTCCTCTTGCTACCACCAGGCCTTTTGTCTGTTAACCGAAGTCTCTCAGATCCCAGAATCAAGCCAGAACCAGCCCTCACCTAGGATGCTGCTCCTTGTGGATACATACCTTGCTATAGAGACATTCAAGTCCCCTGCTGTCTGGAGCTGGGGCATCCTGGCCTAGCTTAGCCCAGATGTGACTTACCCTTCCAATCTGCACTGTCTCATAAAGCACCTGCATGAGGGTCCCTCCCTCGTGGGCAGCCCCAGCCAGCTGACCCCCATGATGGTTCTGATGACTCTGGCTCCAAGAGCTGATTAGGACATGCTCCCTTCCCCCTGCTTCAGTATGTCCTGAAGCTGAGGGACATCCCATGATAGGAGAGGGTCACATCTGCCTGGAGACTTGGCAGAGCTGCCAGAGGCTAGAGCCTGGGTGGGTGGCTCATGTGGAGGGGCTGGGACTTTTGGGAGCTGTGTGATGACAGAGGCCTGCAACCTCATCTCACTGACAGGAAGGAACAAGAAGTATGTCACCCTCTCAAAGTCTGCAATGCTGAGCAGCTCCAGGCAAGTGTAGCAGGCAAGGATTTAGGTGAGCCTGCTTTCCATAGGCAATGCTGGGCAGGGCACACAGGGAACTAGGAAGCAGAGGCAGGGCAAAAGGTTAGTGTCTTAGGATTTCTACCACTGGGAAGAGACACCATGACCACACAGTTTGAGAGGGTTAGTCCATCATCATCATGGTGGGACAGGGGAACATGCAGGCAGACATGATGCTGGAGAAGGAGCTGAGAGTTCTACATCTTGATCCACAGGCAGCAGAAGGAAAAACTGTGTACTAGGCCTAGCTTGAGCCTATAAGACCTCAGAACCCACCCCCACAGTGACACACCTCCTCCAACAAGGCCACACCCACTCCAACAAGGCCACACTCTCTAGTAGTACCACTCCCTATAGGTCAAGCATTCAAGCACATGAGTTTATGAGGGCCATGAGGGCCATACCTATTCAAACCAACACAGTAACACCTGTCAGAGAATTCAGACATGCCTATACTCTAGGCTGGAGACTGAACATCCTCTGAGAAGGCTGCAGTATCTAGGGGAGTGAGAAAGAAAGCTTTGAGTGACAGACAATGACAGCCTCATCAGAGGGCATCCAGAGAGCAGCTACCATGAAGCCCATCTCCATCCTAGAGCTCCTGTGCTTATGAATACTCCACCAGGCAAAGACAAGCAGATGATCAGTGCTTCCTGTGGGCAGGGAAACAAAAACATCACAGCTTCTCAAACGGGCAACACCCATGCATCTAAGGATTCCACAGGACCACAGCAAGAATGACAGCATGCTACATCTGCAGCCATTAGATAGGATCTATGACAGTGGGCATAGAAAAACACGCTCGACCCAGTTAGAAAGCACAGAGTCAAACCTGTGCTGCCAGCTGTGGACTGTGTGGACGGGCACACCCCAGCTTCTACGGGTAGAGAAACTTTCACACTTCACTTTATAGACTTCTTAGTAATGATCTTCACAGCAAGCAGTGGGCACCCAGTGCCATCCCAGGGCACAGCCTTTATGAGAGGCCATGTGGGAATAGAGTCTTCTTGTTATGCTTTGAGCCCAGGAAACACTTGTCAGCAGATACAGCCCTCCT